ATGATAATGTCCCTCGGGGGCCCATCCGGTCGTCTGGGGCCCAAAGAACGATGTATGCGGTCAAATTCGAGCCGGTCAATGGGAATAGCGGGTGTCAGCTCCTGAAACAGAGCAGTAGCAGTGGAGGTAAGATCCGTGACCGTTTCCGGAATACCCCTTAACCGCAAATTGCCACGGCGGGAACGGTTTTCGAAATCCTCAAGCCGCAGTAGTGCATGCATCCGCCAATTCCTTCTTAAGGTCGCACAGGTCCTGTTCGTGAGTTTCAATGACTGTGGCCGCAGCGTCCATTTTATCTTCGAGATCATTCGTGCCGATTGCCCAAATCCCGAAATTTCAAGCGAAAAAGACGGTCGGCCAGCTTGGAGGTAGCGGAGGACAATTCTGATTGCAGCATACTTTTTAAAGCGGCGCAGGAGCTCGGCATCCCGCAGGGATGGAATGTGCGACCGCCGGGAATGGCTCGGGATCCAGGTCCTCCCCCCACTGCCAGGATCCATCTCACCTGCAGGTAGTGATGGCAGGGGACCCAAACATGCAGCCAGGGCTTCAGCTGTTGTCCCGGGCGAAAACCGCGAATCCGCGGCCGGGGTCCTGGAAGCCTCCGGCGTGCTTCACGGGGCCGGCCCAAAATCGAGGCCGCGGCTTCACCCGCGATCTCCGGCGGGTAGGCCGCAACCTCCCGAACGGTCCGCCGGACGCTGGAGGTGCGATGGGGGGGGCCGGGGTTTTTTTTTTCCCCATCAGGGTGCTGGAAGGACAGGGGCCAGGGAGGAAGCGGAGGGACCCCCCCTGAGGGTCAGAAATCGGCCGATGTGTCCGGTGGCTGAGACAGTAAATTAATAGGCAGCCATCCTGGCTGCTGCTCAAAATCATGGTAGTTTTTTTTTTTTACGTCACACGATATTACCAAAAATGTCTAGGTAAAGCAACATTTCAGTAAAAAACAAAACAGATGCCCAGCATGCCAAACCTTAAATTTGTGTGTGCCTGTGAAATGCTGACAAACTTTAGTACACTATATTTTCTATAAGCAGAGGATTAATAGCCCCTATAAGCCAGCAGTTTATTGTTTCGGAGGAGGTCTGGTGCTAAAAATATTGCTCTCATTCTGGTCTGCACAGCGACACGTAACATGTGTTTCGCAATCAACTTTTTCATTCGTAGACACCCCTGAAATGTGCATGTACATGTGTATATGTGGAGGTGGAGGGCATCAAAAAAATTTTTTATTTTATTTTTTGGGGGGGGGGGGGGGGGATTTTATATGCTTGGGTGTAACACAGAATCAGTCCCAGAGGATTGCAACCTTGGCAAACTGATGACACCAGAAATCTCAAGAGACACAGCAGTGCTCTTGAACGACTGTGGCATAAAACAAAATATCTGCAAGACTCCACCCTATACAAATCTGCCCTTCTAATATAGACTTCCTGCCTTTATGCTGCCAACCAAACCAACTTTGTAATTTTTTTTTAATACCTTGTCATCTCTTCTCTACCTTTACCTCTATACTTTGTCCCACACCACCTCGAGACCGATGAAATTTGCAAGGACATTCCCACTGTACACATATCTTCCTCACTTAACATAACCTGACAGCATTCAATACTTTCCTCTTTTGACCCGGCTACTACAGAAGATTTTATCAAACTTTTTCTCAGATGAACAACTAACCAACTGTCCTGTTCCCTTGCAACTACTAAGGCCACCTTCTTCTTCTATCCTATGCTCTCTCACTTACATCTTAAATCTCTCCCTCTCTACTGGCACCATCTCCTCCCCTCTAAAGCATGCACAAATCACTCCCATACTTAAAAAGCCCTTACTGGACCCCACCAACCTGAACAACTTAAGACCCATCTCCTTGCTCCCATTTACTGTTAAAATATTAGAATGCTTAGTCTACAATAGTATGTCTGAGCTCCTACCTCAGTGAAAGCAACCTTCTTGACCCCTTACAGTCTGACCTTTTGCTTGCAGCACTCCACAGACCCAGCCCTACTAAAACTCCCTAACAATTTACTAACTGCTAAAACCAACAGCCACTACTCCATGCTCTTACTACTAGACTTTTCTGCAACCTTCAATACTGTTGGCCACCCACTCCTAAATAATCCCCACTTCCATTGGTATCCAAGGTTCTCTTCTTTCCTGGTTCTCCTCCTATTACAACGCTTCCATCAGCTCATCCCTCCCATTTATTAACTTTTGTAACACTTGCCCCACCCTATTAGATTGTAAGCTGGGCCCTCTTAACCCTTTCGTCTTTTATTGGATGGTAACTGTACTCTCTCCCTTTATATTGTAAAGTGCCCTGCAAAGTGTTGGGACTATATAAATCTTATATATAATAATAAAAAGAGATGCTGTGTCTATATGTCAGGATCAGTATGGTACAGGAATCACTGGAAAGCAGTACTGTTTTTTAATTTGAAAATAACCCAAGAGTATTAAGTCTTCTGTGTACTTAGGTCTCCTTAAGCTATCTCTCCTCTTTTTTTCCCAGCCTAATACCCTCCAGCATCAACAAAGCCAAATAAAAATAGGTTTTCTGAGGGAAGACCTAGCTCAGCTTGTCTCTTCCTATAAAATAAGACTGATGCCTTTAGCGATGTTGTGGATTTTAGCAGCACACAGCCATTTTTCAGAGAGAAAAATCACACACCAGAGAGAACAATGCAGTCTCATCACACTGAAATTTGCTATATTTGTTTCTTCTATTTAACAGAATTTGCATATCACTTTTTTCTTTGAGCACACACTTATGACATTCTTGACAATAAAAATATAGCTGTGAATCAACACAAAAGAAGCTAGAAAAGCAACCCAGCTGTAAACAAAAACACCATTTCCTGTGATGCTTAGCTGTGTAATTAGTCTTGGACATATGCATTACTGTATTTAGGTGAAGAGAACAGCCTGAGAACAGACCTTGCATGGAAAAATGAAACTATTACCTACATCCCAGTTTTTAAACGTAAGGCTCAATGCACACTAGCTTTGTTTATTTAACTAAAAAAGCTGGAATAAATGCTGGATAGAAAACACTGGTAGTAGCGTTTTAGTAGTGTTCAGAAGCGTTAGAGTTTTTTAGCGTTTTTATAGTACATGTAGAGGAAAAAAAATTAAAAAGGTAGAAAAAAGCTGTTAGGAGCACTTTAGTAGCGTTTAGTCTTTTTTTTTTTTTTGCTGGAAAAATGACCTACAAAAAAACAATTTTTTTTTTTGCTCCTAGATGCTGAAGCTCAAAAAATGCTAATGGACTAAAGTAGTGTGCATGGACAAATGGGATAACACTATTTAGCTTCTAGAGACAGTAAAAATGCGGTGTATATATATATATTACTATATATATATATATATATATATATACACATATGTACCCTGTTCCAAAATTATTATGCAAATTCTATTTAAGTGTCACTGTCAGGGCTCCCAGGTATGACCAGAGGTGTGTGACTGATGCAGGGAAACGCAGACTTCAGATATGTGATAAAAACAATACAATTTATTAACACTAACCATACAAACATAAACGCAGTGCAATACTAAACATAATACAGTGCAAACAAACCAAACCAAACCACCCACAGATAACAGTACATACAAAGCAAGCGTCGTCAGGCAGGCCGGGTCAATATCAATTGGGCAGGTAGGTACAGGGGGAGCAAGCAGAGAATGGTCGGGGTCACAGGCCAGGTTCAGCAGGTAGCAAGCAGCGTAGTACAGAGGGGTCAGGCAGAGGGATGGTCAGGGTCACAAGCCAGAGATCAAAAACAGGTAACAAGCAGCGTAGTACAGAGGGTCAGGCAGAGGGACAGAAACAGGATGCAGGACAGATACAGGGCCCAGGACAAACACAACACCAAGCAGAGAGTCTGTGGGTCTGGCCATCCCTTAAATACCCCAGCATCATCAGTTCCAGGTGTTAGCTGGCTGAAAGTTTGAGTCTCTGATTGCTGGGAGCACCCGCTGGCCAGCCCTGGTACTGCAGATCAAAAGGCAGGTGAGTCCCACCATTGCTGGCCAGTCCATTCCTAACAGTACCCCCCCCCCCCAAGGAGCGGCCTCAGGACGCTCCAAACAGTCCTAGCTGGGCAAAATGTTCCACCGCCCGGGTCTGGTAACTGGCGGGATATCAAAGACTGGCACACCGGGGCAGGACTCCGGGCAGCGGCACACCGGGCTGGACTCCGGGCAGAGGCACACCGGGCTGGACTCCGGGCAGAGGCACACCGGGCAGAGGCACACCGGGCAGAGGCACACCGGGCAGAGGCACATCGGGCAGAGGCACATCGGGCAGAGGCACATCGGGCAGGACTCCGGGCAGAGGCACATCGGCAGGACTCCGGGCAGAGGCACATCGGGCAGGACTCCGGGCAGAGGCACATCGGATTACCAGGCGAAGCAGCAGGCAGCGGGCCACCAGGCGGAGCAGCAGGCACCGGGCCCCCGGGCGGGGGCGACCGGCGTCGGGCCCCAGGCGGGGCGGCGGGCGCCGGGCCCCCAGGAGGGGCGACAGGCATCGGGCCCCAGGCGGGGCGACAGGCATCGTGCCCCCAGGCGGGGCGACAGGCATCGTGCCCCCAGGCGGGGCGACAGGCATCGTGCCCCCAGGCGGAGCGGCGGGCGCCGGACCCCCAGGCGGAGCGACAGGTCTCGGGCCCTCAGGCGGAGCGGCGGGCGCCGGACCCCAGATGAGAGCGACAGGTCTCGGGGCCCTCAGGCGGAGCCGGACCCCCAGGCGGAGCGACAGGTCTCGGGCCCTCAGGCGGAGCGGCGGGCGCCGGACCCCCAGGAGGAGCGACAGGTCTCGGGCCCTCAGGCGGAGCGGCAGGCGCCGGACCCCCAGATGGAGCGACAGGTCTCGGGCCCTCAGGTGGAGCGGCGGGCGCCGGACCCCCAGGTGGAGCGACAGGTCTCGGGCCCTCAGGCGGAGCGGCGGGCGCCGGACCCCCAGGCGGAGCGACAGGTCTCGGGCCCTCAGGCGGAGCGACAGGTCTCGGGCCCTCAGGCGGAGCGGCGGGCGCCGGACCCCCAGGCGGAGCGACAGGTCTCGGGCCCTCAGGCGGAGCGGCGGGCACCGGACCCCCAGGAGGAGCGACAGGTCTCGGGCCCTCAAGCGGAGCGGCGGGCGCCGGACCCCCCCAGGCGGAGCGACAGGTCTCGGACCCTCAGGCGGAGTGGCGGGCGCCGGACCCCCAGGCGGAACGACAGGTCTCAGGCCCCCAGGGGGGGCGGCGGGCACCACCGAGTCACCAGGCACAACCGTGGGCTCCGAGTCAACTGGTATGACCGCGGGGCACTGGGTCAGACATTGGATCGTCTGGCTGGACAGCGGGCACTGGGTCACCAGGCATCAGGTCATTTGGCTCGACAGCGGGCACCGCGTCATCTGGCAAGGCAGTGGGCTCCGAGTCAACAGGCACGACAGTGAGCACCGGGTCATCAGGTACCGGATTGTCTGGCTCGACAGCGGGCATCGGGTCACCAGGTATGACAGCGGGCACTGGGTCACCAGGCATCAGGTCATTTGGCTCGACAGCGGGCACCGGATCAGGTACCGGATCATCTGGATCAACAGCGGGCATCGAGTCAACTGGCCTAATAGGATCGTCAGGCTGGATCAGTTCATCATGCTGGGTAGAGGCATCAGGCTGAATGCCGGCGTCTGGCTGAGTAGAGGCTTCAGGCCGAGTAGAGGCTTCAGGCCGAGTAGAGGCTTCAGGCCGAGTAGAGGCTTCAGGCCGAGTAGAGGCTTCAGGCCGAGTAGAAGGCATCAGGCCGAGTAGAGGCATCAGGCCGAAGTAGAGGCATCAGGCCCGATAGAGTAGAGCTTCAGGCCGAGTAGAGGCATCAGGCCGAGTAGCAGGCTTCAGGCCGAGTAGAGGCTTCAGGCCGAGTAGAGGCATCAGGCCGAGTAGAGGCATCAGGCCGAGTAGAGGCTTCAGGCCGAGTAGAGGCATCAGGCCGAGTAGCAGGCTTCAGGCCGAGTAGAGGCTTCAGGCCGAGTAGAGGCTATCAGGCCGAGTAGAGGCTTCAGGCCGAGTAGAGGCATCAGGCCGAGTAGAGGCCATCAGGCCGAGTAGAGGCATCAGGCCGAGTAGAGGCTTCAGCCGAGTAGAGGCATCAGGCCGAGTAGAGGCTTCAGGCCGAGTAGAGGCTTCAGGCCGAGTAGAGGCATCAGGCCGAGTAGAGGCATCAGGCCGAGTAGAGGCATCAGGCCGAGTA